ATTAGAAACTTATTGTTTGTGATTTATTCGTATAAAATCATGACACAGAGGCAGTCTTTCTGTAAATCTACGTCGAGATTGACCCACAATTGCTTACTTTTCAGGGAAAAAGACGGTATAACAGGCGTGATCGACCATGTTGCACACATCACCGAAGATACCAGGTTTTGGCCGTTAGCCAGGCTCAGTAAGTGTTCGGTTACGCTTCTTCCTCACTTCTTTTGAAAATCTAATGCGAATTTTGGTGTAGGCAGAGGTGTTCTGCGAATGCGTAATGGTGTAGCAAACGTTGCTGCGAAGGTTCTACCATCTATGGGACAAGAACGTATAGAAGAACTTCTTCAGCACTATGTGACGACTTTGAACTGGTAGGTAATTTTCAACTATTTTTATCTTTTGTTTGGATTGATGTTGAAGCCATGTGATGGTTATAGGAGGAACAACTGGCTTCGCTGTGTGGCCGTACACGATGAAGGTCGTCGTATAGCGATCTGTCAAGCGAACAACTATATAAGGATTTACAAAATTGGACGAAGCCAGAAGACACCTCTGACTTTGAAGCATCCATTGCAAACCAATGTTGCTTCGATGGCTTGGGAGTGAGTGATTACTTTTTATACTTATCTGTTTACCGCCGTATTGTTTCGCTATCTTCATCTGTTCATTGTTGTTCTCTTGTTCTGAAAATTCCAAGTAAGATTTTTCACATTGCTCAAAAGTAGAGAGGAGTAAACAAGGTTGCAATGAAAGTTTGAACATGAACATTTTCTTCTTTCTAGGCCTTTTGACCAGCGAGTCCTTGCAGTCGCTGCCAACAATAAGATTTTGATATGGAGATTGACCTTGAAGGCGGCCAATATCAAGTACGTTACTATATTTCATTTCTTTATGTAATATTTCACATCTTTATCTCCATTTAGCTTATCCGTTCGTTTTTTTCTTTTCCCTTGTTTTTTCTTTAATGGTAAATTTCAGGCCTTCTGTACATTGCGCGCAAGTCATTGAATTGCCCTTTGAACCTATAAGTCAACTTGTGTGGGACCGGACAACGACGAACGTGCTTTTCGCTGTATCTCCTAATAGCAATAAGATCATGGTAAGACTAGTTTGCTATGAAGATTTATGATTCTTCAAATGAGCATCTAGATTGTTGACATATCTACCGGAGAAGTCGATTCTTTTGGTGCTTGGACTGGTGGGAATGTCACCCAGATTGTCCCAAGTGCAGATGGTCGTCGTCTTGCTGTTCTGTATACTGGTAACCTCATAAGGTACATTACCATGTTCTTTTTATCTATTTATATTTTTTTCTTTCTCTTCTTTCACTCAAAGTTTAGGGTGTATGACCGAAGTTGTTGGCGGGAAGAGCGATGGGGTTCCCTACCAGGACGAGCCGTTAGTGCTGTCTGGTCACCTGCTGGAGACTTCCTGCTCTTCGCAACGGAATAT